ATCCATCTATCCATCTATCCATCCATCATCTATCTATCTATCCATCTATCTATCCATCTATCCATCTATCCATCCATCATCTATCTATCTATCCATCTATCTATCCATCTATCCATCTATCCATCCATCATCTATCTATCTATCCATCTATCTATCCATCTATCCATCTATCCATCCATCCATCTAGCGTGTCATTATTTATATTACAGACATTAATAATTCCTCAAATTTGCTTGCTGAGGAATCTAGTTGCTAAAAAATTGCTGTGTGAACCTGGGCTGTCCATCAGGAGCGAGTGTGTCTTCCCTTTGTGGGGCATCATGGGATAGCGCCAGTTCCAGCCAATCCTGTCGCAGAGTTTCTGGCTGGAGAAGAGAGCCCAAGAAAGACAACCTGGCAGATGACAAAATACCTTAACAGATTATTTCATGTGTTCAAAAACAAGAATACAACATCACAGGCTCATTTATAACTTTAACAACTATGATGAACAAACATGCTAATGTATAATGTATAATGGAACGCAGCCGTACCGTTGCTGTTCGGCTCGTGATTGGACCAGATTGTCCAGATAAGGCAGGTAGTGGCTGGGTAAAGCCATGGCCATAATGTCAGAGGGGAGGATTGTGGGATAGAACTGCGGATAGGCACGAACAGCCACCTCCCCGTGTTTATCATAGAGTCTGCAGAGAGAAAAAAGGCATTATATTCAATGCAGGTCATATTGACATTATATATAGATAAGCACATGTGTGTGTGTGTGTGAGACGTAAACTCACCTGTACAGGTGTGAGAGGAGCAGAGGTGCGTTCCAGGGCTGAAGTTCTCTCAGGCTGCGCAGAGACTTTAGCAGGTCACCCTTCTGAATCACCTCCACCACCTTACTGGCCTGAGTGAACTCTACAACACGCCGCAGAATATTAATATCAACAGAATTGCAATAAAAACAGGTCAATAACACAGCCCTGAATCTTGGAAAAAAATTCTGCTGATTTGCAAAAGAGGACTAATATTAGCTCATTTGATGATGCAGAGTTCAAAAATATCAATAACAATTTTCCATCACATACATTTTGACATATGTATAAATTGCAGGCCAACATTAGTAAGAAGCAAGTATTGGATTTCAGCAGATATAATGCAGGGCTGTGTAATGATTCATTTTGGTACATTTCAAGTCATGTTGGAAAGATTGTATTAATGAGTTGAATGCACATGAATGTCACCAAAATGAAGCCATAAATACGAGTGCAAGACTTTTGATTTGTTAAAATTAAAAAAAAAATTAAATTTACAATAACTCCAGTTGCATGTACAAAATACCATAGTACTGTACAGTTAGGGTAGAATATCTAACGATTCAATTCACAGCACCTTCATGAACTGAATAAAAACATAAAAAAGCAAAAACACATCTGATGCACATTCTTTATTTATCATTTTGTAGATGTAGTAAAAAAACATGTGGATTTTTATGCAAAACTCACCATCTTGCTGCGACCCAGTGTTATTTTAGTATCACTGAGATGCTATTACAGTGTTTATTAATATTTTGAATCAGTTTTTTTTAGTTCGTTTTAGTCAGTGTTGTTTTTTTGTCTTTTTAAAAAAAAAAATTTATATATGCCTATATAATTTTTATTTTAGTTTGAGTTATTTTAGTACATCAAGTTAAACTAAATTAAAATGAGAAATGATGCCTTGACAACTAGCTGAAATAAAAGAAATGTTTTTATATATATTTTATTTTATTTCAAGTTATGTTTTTTAACAGTTTTAATTTTAGTTTCAGTTTTAGTTTTACTTAACTATAACAACCCGCTCTGACCAGAGTGACTTGAATGCACCAGATGTCGTAATTAAATACGAGCTTCCCAGGAGGACTTGAATAGACCAATTATTACAGTTAATTCACATTTGTGGACCACAAAACCAGTCATAAGGGTAAATTTTTCGAAATTGAGATTTATACCTCATCTGAAAGCTGAATAAATAAGCTTTCCATTGATGTATGGTTTGTTAGGATCGGACAATATTTGGCCGAGATACAACTATTTGAAAATCTGGAATCTGAGGGTGCAAAAAAATCTAAATACTGAGAACATCGCCTTTAAAGCTGTGAAAATTAAGTTCTTAGCAATGCATATTACTAATCAAAAATTAAGTTTTGATATATTTACGGAAGGAAATTTACTAAATATCTTCATGGAACATGATCTTTACTTAATATCCTAATGACTTTTGGCATAAAAGAAAAATCGATAATTTTGACCCATACAATGTATTGTTGGCTATTGCTACAAATATACCCCAGCGACTTAACACTGCTTTTGTGCTCCAGGGTCACATTTATGTGAAAACTTACCCAGCATGCCAGCAATATATGCCTTCATCACCTCGCGGTGCTCTCTGTATCGCAGCATACACATCTTTCTCACTCTCTCCTGGTCCAAAAGGAAGAAGTACCTCCTGAGGAACACACACACGCTTTCGATGCCCCCTCTACCGGGGCAGCCCATCTCCAGATAAAGACAGGCCAGCTGCGAGAGGTCAGCCTGGAGGTCAGGGGGCAGAGGTTTGGGGGAAAACAGCTGTATTAGTTCGACATGGCTCGCAAGAGGTGGGAACGGCGCTCTGACTGGGGCGGTGGAACAAGGGATGCTCTCTCCAAGGTCCTCTTCTTCACTGAGAGTTGCGGATTCATCCAGATTAGGAGAGTAGATCTCTGGCTGAACCCCGACGCAACAGGACATCGATGAAACCAGCTCTTCCTCCTCCAGGGTCCTCTCCTCTTGATTTGTTATTTCTGTAGGTCTGGTGTGATCCTCCGGACCCAGGACCCTCTCCAGAACCGGAGCCCACTCTCGAAGTACATCGCAGAGAGAGACGGGGTCCAGTAAAACCATGGGGTCCTGGATCTGAGAGCTACAGAGGAGCACATATCAGCTCTAATAACAGTCCAGTGCACAGGAAAACTCAACTTTTCATTGTAATGATTATACGCACATTTTATGACTTCACATTAATTTAGAGACTAAATTGAAATATATGTACTTAAAAAAATTATTTGTCAGGATATTAAAATGAACAGCAAAAGGCTAAACACAACTGCAAAAAAAACTTCAAAAAAATGGTGCATATAAAATACAAAATTTCTCTTTTGCATTAATGTATTTTAACCTATAAACTTGAGGTTAAAAAATGTATTATTGACTATATTACCATTTAAAAGTTTGGGGTTGGCAAGATTATGAAATGTTTTTAAAAGTCACAACTCCTGCATACAGTAAAACCAGTAATATTGTGAAATGAGAGAATCTCACAAAATCTGCCAAGAACAAGAAAGAAAATAATATAAATAATATATAAATAACATAATAATATTAATATTTTTGCTTAAAGAAAAGGGCTATGAAGATCATTTTCATGACAATTTAAAAAAATTGTCATTAATGTAATGCAGCAAAAAAAAAATCCTCATTACTGAAATGCAAATAAAATTAATTATATGTAAAATTTAAATTAGTATTCTTATAGTAGTTATAACATTTTATACATTAAATTGATACATATTTTTATAGTACTGCTTTTAATTTTTGCTGAATTAAATTTTTTAAAATTTCTTTAAAGTTATCATTATATTTCAGTAATTTAAGCTAATACTGTAATGTTGCAATGCAAAAAATGGTGATGGTAATTTTCTTCATGCAAAATATATTTTCAGATATTTTTTGTTTTGGTTTTTGGGGTGAAAGACGACCCAAACATGTTTTGTTAATTTTCATCCACTTACTCTCCATTAGGGGTCGACCGATATGTGTTTTTTATGGCCGATGCGATACCGATTATTACAGATAAAGTTGACCGATAACTGATATTTTGAACCAATATACATGTCTGGTGTAAAAATTAAAATTAATGTCAAAATTAAGAATAACAAGGGCTCTGACAAAAACTTTCTTTAAATGCTTTTAAATTATTTTAATCGGCAAATCGGTTTTTGAAAATGACTGATACCGACAACCGATAAAAATGCTTAATATCGGTGCCGATAAAGGTCAAATAATTCTTATTTCAGGCTGAAAAGTAAACAGCACCAACCATAATTCAGGTCAGTTTGAATAACAGTTGCCATAAAAGCCAAAAAAAGGCTTTTACAAAAGCCGTTACACTCAAAACGTTCAGTCTTTCACAATAGTTGAGTAGGTAAACGTGTGGTTTACTTTGATCCGTCCCGAGTCCAGTCGCAGGGCAGAAAGAAGGGGGTCTAGACAGTCAAACTCTGCCAGGACATGAGTGCAGAACTCCACAGGAACCACAGGAATCATCCTGCACCGGTCTGAGAGGAAACAACAATAACACTGGGTTGTTTTAGTGGGAACCAGTGCATGCAGCATGTTTGTCTAACCAAACAGAAAAAATAAATGCATTCCTAACAGCAGCTTCGAGCAAAATATGCATGCATGGCATGTTTGAACAAGCAATCAATCACAAAAAGATATGCAAATATTCAGCAAATTGTGACGGGGTGCACAAAAACTCAAGCAGGTGATTCAAGTGCCCAATCAGCAACACTACAGGTCATTATACTCCAAATTTACACTGCAAAGTGTTTCTGAAGTGGTGTTTAGGTGACTGTTTAATGCTGCTCAGAGGTGGCTTAAATGCATTTACCAATATATATTTTGATACTAGGGACTGAAGTCAATCAGATCAAGCATAAATTAGTCTGGCTTTTATGCAGCACTGTGTCTTTACAAAGAATTTTGTGCAGGGACAGAGCAGCCAGAGCAATGTATTTCCCCATTGGGATTTTTTATAGATAGTAGCATCAATAATATGATAGCAGTTATTTATTTTTTAAAGTGTTTATTGTAGTATAGTTGTATTTATGTATAAATAACAAAATTATTTCTTCTTTTTAGAAAATGAATAGAGCAATATTTTACAGAAAGGCCAGTAGGATGTGATGCGAGTGAGGATGAGCTAGCCTTCAGTGAAGGGTAAATGATAGGGATCTACTTATTTTTGGTTTGCATGAGTTTCGAGTATCTAAATCTATCAATTTCTAAAAGAAATGTGCATTTAAATAAAAAAAGAAAATCATAATTTTATAGAAAAACTACTTTTTTGAACATTTTCCATTGTGCCACATAGCAGCATTTGCCAAAAAAATATTTTTTTCTCCAAAAATATGTTTTGATTTGTACGACTGAAGCTTTTTCATGTTATGAAAACCTATTTCAAAAAAATATTTGATAGAAAAACTACTTTTTTGAACATTTTCCATTGTGCCTCATAGCAGCATTTCCCCCATAAAATCTTTTTTTTCTCCAAAAATATGTTTTGATTTGTACGATTGGAGCTTTTTCATGTTATAAAAAAAATATTTCCTGGTTAGAACATAAGGCACATCACAGAAGGTGTTAACATGGCTGTGTAAAGACCTGACTCTGATGATGCCCAGACATGTTCCCTCAGTAGTCAGCACAGTGAGCTCACTAGGTTTAGAGACACATCCCAACTCAGTGTCATGTGACTCCAAGGAAATAATCCAATTGAAAAAGCATGACTGCCACACACCTATCCTCCTTTTAGTGATTTTCTGTCGCTTTTATATACAACTACAGTACTGTATCACCTATATAATATTAAACAATGCATAACATTAACCACATACACGACAAAACCCGAGTCACAGATGCATAACATTTCATCTAACGTTATTTGGGAACTTTTATTTTCTTTATTTGTTTTTCACACAGTAGGCAGAAGAGAAGCAGCTCATGCATACACACACACTTTACCACTTCCTCTTCGTCTGAAACTAATATTTACAAGAATTCAGTTTGTAAAATATCTTAAGTTAAAAGTTACAAATCAAAGCGACGCGTTAGCCGATTAGCATGACTGTCAATCACGAGATCTGAGCTTAAAACTCGCCAAAACAGCATGAAACATCGAATAAACCTGGTTTTGTTTACATTAGTTCCTCACATTGTGTCGTTAAACAGTTTAATAAATGCGAAACTTGATACTGAGCTGGGTACTTTCACATCCAACAACGTTTTTAGTTTCTATTTCTCCTCCTAATGAGTAAATCCTTCAAGTTATGTCATCTACGTTTAAGGCAACATTAAAAAAATACTTTTTAAAGAAAAAGAAAGCTGAGCTAAGAAAGCTGAACTTATTTGAGTTGGTAAATGTGTCACCTCAGGCATTTCTATAAAGTATTTAACATCAATTAAACGCGTTTTACCTCCTCCTGAGATCCAGGCGCATTTAAATCGGCGAAATCTCCAGAAGTGTAGAAAAACCGACTCATATAGTGTGTAAAAAAGTGAGGATAATGTGTGTTTGTGGCGCTGTTAGTTGTGTTTGACAGCTGACTGGAAAACTGACCGGCGCTACTTCCTCATTAGACTCCACTCACTGTGACGCGCAGTGATACACACTCAGCGCAGGGAACTATTTCTGGCGCATTTAGACAATACTTGCCATCAAGTAGGCTACTTGGAGAGCTTTACATACTAAATAAATTAACAAAGTAAATAAATCTTCTAATTATGCATTAAAAGTTCAAGTTTTATCTAAAAACATCTGCTTTACAAACAAATAAGTGTTACAGACGCGTAGGTGTTCAAGCAATAAATTGGAGTCCATGGGTCCATTAAAAGCTCTTGCTGTATTGATTGATATTCGAGATGCCCACGAGAATAAAGCCTGTTCCAACAGCAAGCAAAAATAGCAAAGCCTCTACCCTCAACCATCTTGTGACCTTGTAGTAAATGTGTTTCAAATGCAGATATAGATGTATGCATTGTGTTATAAAGATAGCCATCACCAAACTCAAGCACATAATGACTACTGAACTGTGTCAAAGACTATAGAATACTCTTAAAGAGACTTTGACTGTATGGTGGGTCTTGAGAAGTTATTAAAATCTACAACAGTATTGATTACTGCATCAGTGGTGCTGCATGCTATCTTGAGACCAATACAAAGGAGGTAACATGCCACAAACTGGACACATTTGATTTGATTAGTGAGCTACTGTAAAAGGTGCAGAATCTTATTAAATGTTATTATATTTATAGTAATATTTATTACTATAATTTCCCCCCAAATCTGTTTAAAAATTTGGTTTTGAGCCGGTTTAAGAACATCATTCTATTTATTAAAATAAAAATAAATATACAGATTAAAATAAAACTGATTAAAATTAATACAAAATAAAAAAACAATAGTAATGGTAATAATAATAATCCGATAATTTATATTATATTTTATATATATTTACAAATCCATAATATAAATTTATAAATTGATAATTAATAGATTATTATTATCATTACTACTGGTTTTTATTTTGTATTAATTTTAATAATGTTTAATGGAAGAACCACATGTGTGGTAACTGTTCTACATTTATGTTAATTATTAAAAATAAAAATGATTAAAACAAATAAAAATAATGATTATTAGTAAAAAATTATATGTAAGTAATATATGTAATTTACTTTTTTAATTATTTAAAATGTAATACCTCTAACAAGTACTATAGTGAGTAGAAAAAAGGAATAATTTAACATAATAGAAATCTTCCAAATAGCATTTTACACATTTATGATATACATGTATACAATATACATGACAACATATAGCTGTCTTTTCAATTTTATGGTGAGGGACCATGGCATCTAAAAGATTAAACACCCCTGGTCTAACACACAAATGCATGTTAATGCACAAACACACTTTCTTATCTATGGCACGATATGAATTTGAAACGGAACAATGAATAACAGCTTCCTCACTGCATGTACGCTTGGGTAACGCTCTTTTAATGTTACACACGAGACCAGTTTAACAGTTTAAATCTGGACTTTATTTGCAATAACATCCACAACTCAGTGCAGCTAGAGAAGACGCATTATTAAGCAGTGCGGATGAGCGTGTGCGCGTGTTCGTGACACACAGATCAGTTAAATGCTCTACATAGAAATTATTTATTTATTAACAGTATTGCTATATCCGCTCCCATTGGCGTGTCTTGAGCAACTGTTTTCCAATCAGCCTCAAGTCTCGGGAGGGTTGAACTGGATTGCAATATCTGATTTGTAAAGGGTCCTCCTTATCACGGACCTAAAAGCTTTCCCCTCAAACGGAGTCCTTTGCATTAAACATGATAAGTTCCTGAGTTTCCACCGATATTATTGAGCCCAGCTTGGTCATTGTAGAAATACAACACGGTTAAAATGTCACATCTTACGTAGGAAATGAAATTATCCACTGAAGAAAAAAAAACAAAAACGGGAAAGGCAAAAAATGGAACGGAATTGAACAAACAAAGTAAAGAGAGAAGAAAATAATTAGTTATTTGTGACTGGCACAACCCATCTCCACATGGACCAATAGGATTACAGAATTTGCTTCTCCAAGCCCCTCCCCCAGGCAGACTGCTCACTAGCACCTCCAGCTCTGATTGGCTGGAAAATCCGCCCATCAGGCTCCAGTCGGCCCAAGCTGGGAGAGAGTGTCTCTGTTCTTCTCCCATTTTCTTTCAATTCAGTCTTTTCTCTCTTTCATGGCTTTCGCTCCGTCTCCTCAGGTTTTTCTCATCATTCTGCGCGTCTGCCAGGCTTGGAACTTGTTGTACGCAGCCTGAAGCATTTCCTCCAGGTGACCCGTTAGCTGTTGCAATCAGAAAACACAGGAAAGTATTACGTTAAAAATACTGACACATGAAAAAAATTAGATTACACCACCTTGCAAAGCCTGTAAACCCTCGTAAACGTTCACACAATATGAACAAAATATCAAAAAGAGACTGATTACATCAGAAAACATCCAAATACAGGAATAACATCAGAACATTTAGACACTTTAGACCTCAAATAACACATTTATGCACGTAATAGGTTTAACAGAAGTACAAGCTGTTTTTTTTTAAACCCTCCAAAATAATTTAAGGGGGTCTGAATACTTTCCGTACCCACTGTATATATATATATATATATATATATAAAATATATATTACCTAGTTGCTTTTCAGACATAATTATAATAATTTCTAATAGGTATTGCATTTGTATTTCTATTTAAACTGCATGAAAGACTGCTTCATTGTGACTGATTTGTAGATTATACCCCCAAAAATGGCTCTTTATTTTGATTTTTGTTTTTGCATTTCCCATTCATTTTCATTTGCCAGTCATTTTTTGACTGCAAAGATCACAACTGTCACTATTTTTTTTAAAGCATTTTCTAATCATGTCCACATTTCTTTGTGTTCATATAACAAGTTAAGTCACAAAGCTTCATAAAAAATGTCAAAAACTGAAAATCTAAAAATGACCACCTCTGAATTCAACAAGTACATCATAAGTTCTTCCACACGGTTCCAGAAATGATCAATTCTGGGCTGTTTTTTGAGACGAGCATTAATTATTCATGTTTACTCTAGTAGTACAATCCATTACAGTAAATGGAGGGGGTGTGGCCAGGGGCGTGGCCTTACATTAGTGCTCAAATACTGCCGTTGGATCTTCTCTTGAAAGGGGCGGAGCTTCGTCATCTGGAACTTCTCCAGGTTAGATTTCATCTTTACCACCTGTGAGCAGAAAAAACAAATCACAAATAAATACTTCATTATTAATTTGGAAATATTGGTAACTGACGGTGCATTTCTTCACCTTTTCCTCCAGGAAGGGAGTGCTGACGGGGAAACATGACCAGAAGTGTCGGAGCAGCTCTCCGGCGGCCGTATATAAGTGCTTCAGCTCGCTCTGAACATCAGTGGGAACTAATTCTGCATAAACAAACACAAAGAGAGTATGCATCAAGTTAATGGGCAGTAAAATGGCTTAATGAGGTTTAAAATGCCTGTTTGCATTAAAATCTCAGTTGAAGCAACATTTGATATTATGATGGGATGAATAGACAGTCAAACACTCACGGTTAATGGTCTGTTGGCCTCCGCCCTGCATCAGAACCCCTCCAGGTGACAGCGCTGTGATGGCGGAGCTCGCCGCACTGCTGGACATCACCTGAAACAGCCCGGAAAATATAATTTGTGACCCTGGAGCACAAAAGCAGTGTTAAGTCGCTGGGGTATATTTGTAGCAATAGCCAACAATACATTGTATGGGTCAAAATTATCGATTTTTCTTTTATGCCAAAAATCATTAGGATATTAAGTAAAGATCATGTTCCATGAAGATATTTAGTAAATTTCCTACCGTAAATATATATCAAAACTTAATTTTTGATTAGCAATATGCATTGCTAAGAACTTCATTTGGACAACTTTAAAGATGATTTTCTCAATATTTAGATTTTTTTGCACGCTCAGATTCCAGATTTTCAAATAGTTCTAGTCACAGATTTCAGTGGTGTACCTGCGTCAGACGGGGTTTATAGCTCCTCATCTCGTGCTGGATAATGCTGATGGAGTTGATAATGTCCTGACTGGTGGAGTAATGCTGCGACTGAAGAGGAATCGGGCCGTGGGAATATCTTCCAGAAACAAACAAATGCAAAATACAAAACTCTTGATATGAAGATCCACAGATTCTAAAAACATTGTGTCAGGCAGATACAGGTGCTGGATGTTCACCTGTCTGATTTCTTCAGGTTCAATGAGATGGTCTTACGCACAGAGTCACCCTGCAGGTCATCATACTCTATGGCTTCCTGTAATTTTACCTGAAAAGCCACAAAAAGAGAAGTAAGAATCTGCTGTTGCTCTTGTTGAACATAAAAAAAACCTGATATGTCATTTTTGGAAATTTATGTTATGTTTTTCCTAAATA